TCAAGCATCTCACCGAGAAGAATATCTTTGGCCCATTGCTGGATGTGCTCAACGATACCATGCCCCGGGACAACCTCTTGAGCTCCGCCTGCCTCGAGCTTTTTGAGTTCATCAAGAAGGAGAATGTCAAGGACCTGGTCAAACACTTGGTGCAAAACCACCGGGAGCAGATGATCCCTCTCAGCTACATGGACACGTTTCGCGAGCTTGTTCTTCGATTCGACCAGACGCAGGCAGGCACGATGGACTACTACCTCGACAAGGAAGACGTGGACTACTGGGACAACCTGGACGAGGATGACGGCCCCGAGAGCAAAGCGCTGGACAAACCGACGACAAACGGAGACGGCGCGACGCCACAGTCAAAACCCCTGGTTGACTACCCCTCGGACGATGAGCCGGATGAGAATCAGGAGAACGCCATCGTCACGCCGCCCGCCGAATCAAAAGAGACCAAATCGACCGATGCAACGCCACCATCGACACCACCTGCCGTCGCTCCACCAGAGCGGCTATCGGAGAAGCGACGGCGCGAAGAGGACGAGGAGGACGAACTGGGCAAGCTGATGCAGAACAAGCGTCGCAACAGCAGCTCCGCAGGCTCGAACGCGTCCGTCGCGTCGTCAACAAGCATGGCGAAGCGAAAGAAGGATTTCCCCACCAGGTCAAGTCCTTCCAGCGCGCCGAGGAAGATCTCGATCAACATTTCTCCCTCGGTCAAGACTGGTGGCAACTCGAGGTCTGACGACGAATCATGAGGGCGTTATTGTTTCATTCGGCATGACCAAGGACAAGCAGGCTAAGGGACACGATCGCGGGACGTCGAAGGGCAGACCGACCCAAGGTTCTCTCGACGTCCGTCGCATGTTTGATTTCCGGATACGGCGGGTCTGCTTCGGCGGCTGGGCGGGGTCGGCGTTTGCCGGTACTTATTTTTAACGGGTGCCAGGCTTTCTTCTTCAATTTCTTTTCTTCTCCCCCGCTTCCTCCCCCTCCCTCCATCCTTCTTCTCTCGTACATGGTTTGTTCCTTTGCACGATACGAGAATGACGAAACTAAATTGAGCGAGTAAGCGAGTGACAGTGCTCGTGGGAGTTTGCAGCGGCGAGAGGAGCGCGGGTGGCTCATGGCCGACGGGCAAGCTGGCGGAGGCCAGCGCTGATGATCAGGGGTGGTTAGGCGGGGGCGGCCTGTGTGTGCCGCCGCCCCTGCGGAGAGACCAACGGATGGGACGCGCTGGAGACGATGGTTGTATGGGGTGCATGTGATGTGGAAGCGAACTGCGTATACCCCATCTGTAACGAGGTGGCTTCGATCTGGATCAGGCTGGCAGAAGCTTGATTTTTGGTCACTAGGCACCCTTGATAATTCCATCCGTTGTTGGTACTCCATTCGTGCGCATTCATGGCAGGTGTGTATGCTTTTGCTAGGTATCGTGCATGAAAACTGTCTACGCCCCCTCTTTGGGGAGATTGCCGTCTCATCAACATAACAGCCTCATTGCCTGGAAAACCTCGTGGCCCATTTCTCATACCCTGCCAGCATGGCCGCGGTGACGCCCTTGGGCATCGTCTCCATGGCGCCGGCGATATCCCTGAACGTGATCATGCTGTCGTCGCCCGTGCGGATGCCGTCGAGGCACTCGTCGACGGCCCGCTCGGACGCCATGTTGCAAATCTGCTTCATCTCGGCGCCGCTGAAGCCGTCGGCGCGGCGCGCCAGCTCGGTAAAGTCCATGCCGGGCTCGGACCGCACCTTGCCCATGTACGTGCGCAGAATGGCCTCGCGGCCGGCCTCGGTCGGCATGCCGACGTAGACGAGCGAGTCGAACCGGCCCGGCCGCAGCAGCGCCGGGTCGATGGCCTCGGGCCGGTTCGTGGCCGCCAGGATGAGCACGCCCGGCAGCGACTCGAAGCCGTCCATCTCGGTCAGCAGCGTCGTCAGCATGTTGACGCTGCCCTGCGAGCGCGCCGCGCCGCCTCCCCCGCCTCCACCGCCGCTGCCGCCGGCGCGTTGGCCGCCGATCGAGTCAATCTCGTCGAAAAAGATGATGCTGGGTGCCGCCTCGCGCGCGCGCTGGAAGAGCTCGCGCACGGCGCGCTCCGACTCGCCGACGTACATGTTGAGCAGCTCGGCGCCCTTGACGGCGAAAAAGTTAAAGTTGGACTCGGTGGCCAGGGCCTGGGCGGACATGGTCTTGGAGCAGCCGGGGGGGCCGTAGAGGAGAAGACCCTTGGGCGGGTTGATGATGAGGGCGCGGACGCGGGGGTCGGTGGTCGTCGAGAGGGCGATCATGCGTTTGAGGGCCTTTTTGAGGCCGTCCTGGCCGCCAATGTCGCTCCACTGGACCGTCGGCGGCTTGAGGTTGATGTCGTGCATGGCCGTTGGGCGCGTGCAGCGCAGGGCGGCGTCGAGATCGGCCCGGGTGACGTACGGCGTCGACAACAGCGCGTGGCCTTGCTGGTCCGGGTCGATGCGCGTCTCGAGAAGATGGATTGCCGTCGACATGAGCCGGTCGAGGTCTGCGGGGTTGAAGGCGTGGGTATGTTTCGCGAGATAGGCGACCAGCTCGGACCGCTCTTCGGGCGCGATGGATTCGGACAGGGTGTGGAGGACCTGCTCGCGGCCGGCAAGGTTGGGAATGGGAAGCGCAATATTGAGCTGGAACCGCGTCGACCGTTGGAGCTCGGCGGGCATGTCGGTCAGGTAGTCGCTGCAGGAAGCAATGACGGCGACCTTGGGTAACGCCCCCTGCGTCCTGGCCTCCTCGGCCAGTTCGTCGAGCTGCTGGCCGAGCTTGAAGATGATGGTGCTCGAGTTGGCGCGGTCTTTGCCGATGAGGGCGTGGAGATCGTCGATGAGTATGATGCTGGGACGTTGCGCCTTGGCCTGCTTGAAGATTTCCTCGACAGTGCTGGATTTGTCGAGGACTTGTACGCGAAAGACGGTGCCCCATTTGGTCGCGGCGACCACGTCGAGCAGGTTGCTCTTGCCGGTTCCGTGGCCGCCATGGATGGCGATGCCGCAGGAGCGTCGATGGCGAGGATGCAAGAAGGGGGCGTTGAATCCCCGTAGGAAATCGTTGAGCTTCTTGCTCTCAGCAGCCAGACCTGGGATGTCGGGAACGACGAGCTTGGTTGGTGCCACGTGAGTATCGGTCACTGGCTGGCGGAAGGATATCGTAGGGGGATCATCGGAGCAGGCGGCGATGTTGTCAGTTTCTGCGTTGACGCTCTGCACACGGAACCTCTTCTTATACGTGGCAATGGTACAGTCGAACGTCATGCCGGGAAAGACGTGGACGGCGCGTTTCAGGGGAAACCAGACGGCGTGCTCCCAGTTGGGTGTTTCCTTGGCAGCAACAGCATCTAGGGGTTCCAACACGATGCTTTTGGCTGCGGGAACAGAAGACTCGTCGCACAACTTGATGGACAGTTGGTCGCCGAGCTTCAGGCCGGCCGCCTCCCGGTAGGCATCGGTGGTGAGGAAGACGTTCGGGGGCACCTTTTTGTCGAGCAGGCATGAAAGGACGGCCTGTCGACGTACGGGCTTGGTACTGGACGCTTCGGCATCGTCATCGAGGGCGGCGGCTGGGGCAGTCCTCTCGATCCAACATCTTTTTGTGCTCTCAACGCCTCCCGTCAGAAGGATAAGTGTGTCTTTGTTGATCCAGATACGGGCAGCGCCGACAAGGCTCGATTTCTCCTGACTCTGGTCCCACGTGCCAACGGGTCGGACCTTGCCTGTGACTTCCTTGCTGGTGACCATGATGGTGTGAGATGGAGGAAATGCGCCTATAGATATATTGTGCGCCGAGGGTAGGTAGTTGTGTAGGCGCTGCTCTAGAAGGACCCGTGAGCAGCAGAAAAACCCAGCACAGACAGCTTCATGTACCCAGCACCGATGACGGTAGCTTTTGGCATAGGCCTTGGGTGGATGAATAACGGCGAACTTCCGACGAGCTTTCTCTCTCCATTTCCTTCATGATCTGAAGTGAGTTGACGACCAAAACAGGTTAGTGCACGATTAAAAATTCTGGTTTGGTGCAGCCTCTCACAGCCGCCGTTTGGGGCAGTCGCTATGGTGCCCCACCTGCCTCGAGACAGCGCCTGTCTGACACTGGAGGGCAGGTGCATGTTCGTGCAGAGGAACTATAGCAGTACCTTAAGGTACCTTAGTGATGGAAGCTTTCTGTATCGGTTTCGCTTAGCTGTCATGTATTGCATAATACATGAATGATTCGTGTGTGATGCAGAAAATGACTTTCACTGATTTATCAGGCCTGATTGACACCAGCTCACATCTGCTTGCCCACCTGTATCATGGGCTTTCGCCTGTGCACATCATCCAGCCAGGCACTGCAGAAAAGGTAGATACATGTACACCTACGATCCTACTAGCATCGTACGTCTTCTGGGGGAATGGAAAAAACCCTTGACAGTGCGTTCTACGGGACAATGGCGAGTTCACAGCATTACATGTACCTAGGTATGTAATGAGCTACACGGCTCACTACTTATAGCGTGTCTAGGACCACAATGATTCACCCATGTTTCTTTGGGTACCTAGGTACGCAAGGTAAGGTACGGTACCTAAGGCAGGTAGGTGCCTAGGTGGGTAGGGACGGTACCTGGTACTTGGTTTAAGGGTCCACGCTCTGCTAAGCCGCACCTGGCACTGGAACCAATCGGCTGGAGCTGTCTGTGCTCACTGCCGCTCCGGTTCCACGCTGCAAAAGTCCAGCTTCGTGATTCTCCCCAGAGCTCTCGAGCTCACCCTCAACGCAACCTCCGTGTCAACCACGTCCTTCATCCAGCCGTCCGCCCCCGCAGCCGCCACAAACTGCCCTCATGCAATGGGCTGATACCAGAGCGCTGCGGCCCCTCGTCAGCAGCATCGCAGTTGCGCGGATGCCCCCTCGAACCCCCGGCCTTCCTCTTGGCCTGCCTCGCCCTCTGTTCCGACCATGGCTGAATCACCGCCCCTTTCACGCCTCCGCCATGCGCGGCAGCCCCTCTAGGAAGGGCAAACCCTCGATCTTCAAGGAGATGTTTCCAGACGCCGGTGCCGGCCACGAGACCTTGAGGACCGATCGACCGAGACGCCCACGCGACGATATATTGGCCAAGGAGCCGCCCATTCAGCGAGAGCTCCTGGGCAAGGATGATCTGCGCGCGTGGCTCGAGGCACAGAGCCATGGCGAGGAAGAAGGCATCAACGCTCGCCCGGAGAAGGACGAGATGCCGGCGATGCTCATCTTGTCCAATGCCAGCAAGCATCTCGCCGAGGCCGACTTTTACCGAATCGGTCGCAAGGGCGAGCACCTCCAAGGCTGGAACACGACCATCAAGAGGGGTACATATGCTTCTCACCGTGTTTATTGTTGTCTCGTGTGAACAGTCAAAAACTGACAAGACGCAGTCATCCACCTCCACGACCGCAACACCCTCGCCCCCTTGGACAGCTACTTCATCCTCTTCACCTCGCGCGCCGCCGCCCGCGCCTACCAGCGCGAGGCCGAGCAGCTCTACAGCCGCGCCCGCGTCGACGCCGCCAAGCAAGACCTCACCCCGGCCCCGCCCGCCGACGACATGCCCCCCTTTACGCTGGCGCCCCCGTCCCCGGCGCCCCTGAACCTCAAGCTCTACGCCCTGCCGCCAAGCACCGCCGCCCGCCTCGGCGCCTTCACCCTCGCTAAGACGCTGCCCGCCCCTGAGAAGTCCGTCGAAGGCGCGCAGAGGGTCGTCGTCTCGCTGCAGGGCGGTGCCCTGCCGCCGGCCGCGTTCTGGGGCCTCGTGCGGCGAGACGGCGAGGAGAGGAACCTGGCGTGGGACGTGCTTGAGATGCAGCCGTACTTTGCGCAAAAGGCCTTTTCGTCTTCTGCCAGTCACCAGAATGGCAGCATACCACGCGACAAGACGAAGAGAAAAAAGGAGAAACAGGACAAAGCCGCTACCGAGAGTACGACCGAGACACAGACGGCGGAGCAGCGGGCGGCAGAAGAGACGGCGATGACGAACGCGCCCGCGACGGACGACCCCAAGGGCAAGACGCACGCCAAATCAGCGCGGTTCGTGCTCTCTTTCAAGGACGTGCACGAGGCGCGGCGGTTTGCCAGGTCGTGGCACAGGAGGGAGTTTCCGCTGTCGCCGCCCCGGCAGGGTCGGGACAAGGGCCGCGTCGGGCAGTGCGTGACGGCCAACGTGGCGGTGCCGTGGTGAGAAGGATATTTGAGATACCCCTTGGAAACAAATCATACCCAGCTTCTTTCGTGTGTGCATGTGCCGTGTTTCATCTCGCATGTGTGGTGCGCGACATCATGAGATGCAGCCATCGTTCCTGAAAAAAAAAGCAGTTGAACACTCTGAAGCCTAATTACACCTTTCTACCTATGAACAGGGAGGAGAAAGCTTACTCGGGTCAAAAGAGCCGCCTCCATGATCCGACTCACAAAATGCTAAATCCCAGTCATACGGCGAATCACTCACAACGCGCGACAAGTGGAAAAACAAGCTGAATGTACCCCAGTAAAGGAAATAAGGCAGAATAGAGAGGTGAAAAAAAGAGGACAGAAAAACAAAAACCCGAAACTCCGGACCAGATATTTGCTCTCTAAACGGATGATGATGACACGACCAAAGACTCGGGGGCTCTTTCAACAGAAGAACCGGGCACACCTCCCTCTCCATCCGCCGGTCGAGTCGCTGTCGCCGCTACCACCGCCACCACCACCGCCGCCGCCGCCGCTGTCGCTCGCTCCGGTATGCTTGCTGCCCCTTCCGGAGTGCTGTATGTGCATGGTCTGTTCGGGCGCCTTAGGCGGCGTACCAGTTCCCTTCCTCTCCGCCGGCGCCCAACCATCATCTGCCTCTGCCCCATGATCATCTCGCCGCCGAGCCTCAACCAAAACAGTCACCCCCGTCGCCATCCTTGCGCAGACCCAGCTTTCACTCACGAGAGGCCGTCCCAGTCTAGCAGCACTTGCCACCACTGCCCCCCGCCTGCGCAATGGGCACACCGCCCGCACCCCCGGACGCGCCGCCCGCACCGGCCTCGCTCTTCTGATTGTCGATGAGGCGCTTCTTGATGTCGGCGGCGAGTGAGTAGAAGGCCTTGTCAATGTTGATGTTGCTCTTGGCGGAGACCTCGAGGAAGGGGATGCCGAGCTCGTCGGCGAGCTGCTGGCCCTGTTCCGTGGAAACGACGCGCTTGTCCTCCCAGTCGCACTTGTTGCCGATGAGGATCTTGTTGACGCCCTCGGTGGCGTGCTGCTCGACGTTGGCGAACCAGGTGCGGATGTCTAGTCGGAGGACAGTGTCAGCAATGGAAACCCCAGAAACAGCAACTGGGCAGCAGAAACGCACTGTTAAAGGAGCGCTCGTCGGTGACGTCGTAGACGAGCAGGATGCCCATGGCGCCGCGGTAGTAGGCGGTGGTGATGGTGCGGAAGCGCTCCTGGCCGGCCGTGTCCCAGATCTGCAGCTTGACGCGCTTGCCGTCGAGCTCGATGGTGCGGATCTTGAAGTCGATGCCAATGGTCGTGATGAATGACGGCGTAAATGAGTCCTCGCTGAAGCGCAACAGGCAGCAGGACTTGCCCACGCCCGAGTCGCCTATCAGCAGGAGCTTGATCTGTGCGTCGTGTTAGCTGGTGATGCAGGGGTCTGGTCGGGTGCTTGTCGTCGTCATCGTCATCGTCGTCGTCGTCGTCGCCCTTGTTGTTGAGTCGGGAGGGCCAAGGGCAGCAGCGTGATCCGGTAGCAGCGGACAGACTGGAAGGGGGCCACCTACCAGGAAGTCGTAGTTTCTGTTACTCGACATGTTGGCGGTGGTCGAAGGGTGCTCTGTTCAGAAGTAAGAGGGGTGTCGTAGAAGGAAAAAAAAAATCAGTCGGTGATCGGGATTGGTGATGGCAGAGGGGCAAAAAGGCGGTGCTCAATGTTCGGTGGTTGTCGCGCGGAGGGACGGACGTGGCAGATCCAGAACCGAAGGTGTCGAAGGCCAGCGGTGCGGTGCAGTGCGGTGGGATGGGATTGACGGGCTGGTGGATGACTTTGGACTGCTTGATTGATCGTAGCGCGGGCGGTTTCCCCAGTTCGGTGCAGGTCAGGTGCGGTAGTGCCTCCAGGCGTAAAATGAGCCAGGAGCGAGGAGCCAGCAGAGCCCGCGAGGGGCCAGCAGCAGCGCCAGCGGCCACCACCACTAGGTACACCACTACATACCCGTACTTACCTGATAGGTAGATACCTACCTTCCAGCAGGCTTCTGTGCCACCACTCTTCAGGGACCAGGAATCGCCACATCCTCAGCCACACAACGTCATTGCTTGTCCGTCACGACGACCCTCCCTCCCTCCGTTGCAGTCGTTGTCACATGGGTGCGACAAAACTTGCAGATCATCGAAACGCCTTTGAGGGGGCCATTTGACTTTGATTCTTTCCGTCGGGGCCGAGAACCAAACAGGCGGTGGCTCCCCAGAGCGACCATCACAACGTTATAAGTGTAGTTGTTGTATTTTGCGTCCTTTTCCGACTACCGGAGATCCTGTACCAAGCAGCATCGCTCCTACAGCTGTAATATGGCTGCCAGTTCCTCGTTTGGGTAGCCTCTCCATTCTTTACCCGTAGACGCCAGCTCAAGGATGATACTTGCATCGGCCATGTGCTTCCCAGGGGGGGGAGTGGTAGGTTCATTGCAGGTGCCGATGCAAAGAGAGCCACGTTTGGATCCATTACGCAGGGTACGGTACCTGGAGCTCACCAAGTCCCATGTCCCGCTGCGGGGGTCTGGAACATGGGGTCTCCTCCCAATCGCGTGTCCTCTGCCTTCGGCTCTAGGGAGGCGCCTCTAGTGGGCGAGTCCCCTGAATCAATCACCACCCGGCCCCAAGCTTTATTGTTGGACCATCATTTCTCTAAGCCGATATGTTCTGTTGCATTGCGTAACGCTTGGCAAAGCCTCCACGCGCTCCCATTGTCATGACTCCTGCTCGTTCGTCTGCCCTATACTTCCCGTCGCCCGCTTCTCTGGCTCTCTTGCTGTGTGTGACACATTCATCCCCCCTGGACAGACCTTCGATTGAAGGCATGCAGGAACACGGAGTCGGTACCAACCAGAGGTCAAGGCCTGGTATATGATTCGCTCGCAATAACCTTTCGAGTCCCCCGTCGACATCGAATACGAGCTTCAGGTGGATGAGAACAACCACCTTTTCCTCCTTCACGGGCAGCCGGACGACATCGTTAGGCCTCAAATCCCGTGTCACAACCTGCACGACAGCCGACGACCGAATGGCTTGTTCACTTGGCATCCATGCTCGCATGCCTGGGCCACCTTCAACAAAGACATATCACTACTGTTCCCCTGGCACCGCCTTGCATTCTTCACGCCCGGCCGCTTGAATCTCGAGACGCGAGACGTTCGCCTACTCCAGCAATTGCATTCCAGTCCAGCCTCGACATCATCCTCCGTTTGGTCTACCCACATCGTCTCTTCCATCCGCCTAGCTCGATCGGATCTGTCGTGATTCCTGACGGCCCTACCCGCCCTTGCCTTAGTCTCGAGACAGCTACCTTGCCTCATACCACACTCAGCCCACAGAACCCAAGCTGTCGGTGCCGACGTCTGTGTGGACACGCCCCCTTTCTCCCTCTCCTTCTCAAATTCCCTCCTCCTCCTTCCACAGCATTGTATAGTAGCACTGCACGAGAACGATCAGAGTATTCATTTTGATGCACGACTTGCCAAAGGGGCAGTTGTTCTCGATGCTCTTGCTTGGTGCTAGAAGCTGCAAGTGCCCCTCGCCCTCGCCCACGTCCCCACGCCTCCGTCCGCGTCCGGCAAGCACCCTCCGGTAAGGCAGGCGCCTGCCTCACTTTGGATAGTCAGTCGCGACCATGACATCTCCGTGGCCACCCCGACGTCCACCACCTCCACCGCCGCCCCGTTCGCCTCGACGACCTGCTCCCCAGCCCTCTCGACGTCCATCCGACGACTTTGTCACCCGCCTGCACAACACCTCGCTCAATGCCCCGCCCAGCGAGCTGGCGCGCCTCTCTCGCCACGACTTCGCCCTTGAGGATTCTCAGGCCAACGCTGACTCGAGCTCTTCCGAATCTGATATCCACCCCTCCAGACCACGCCGTCGACCAGCCCATTCTCGGTCTATGAGCGTTCCTTTCCCGTCCCTCTTCTCCAGCAAGAAGAAGCAGCGTCCAGGCCCGGTGCACGACGACGACTCCGACGACTCCCACAATGACCCGCCCGTGACTCGATCCGCAGCCAAGACACATACAAGGGGCAACATGAGCCAAGGCAACCGCGATTTCGCCACCGGAAACTGCATGACCTGCAACTCCCTCGTGCGCTGGCCGCGAGATCTCAAGGTCTTCAAGTGCACCGTCTGCGTCACCGTCAACGACCTCAGCCCGGAGGAGCACGCCGGACATAGGTCTGGTGGCGTCCCGCAGTGGCTCCGGGGCGCCAAGCCTGCCACCTCGTCCTCGTCCTCGCCCCCGGATCAGCCCGCCCGCTCAGTCGACAAGAGCGGCACCAAGGAGATATCATTGGAGCACACAAAGTCATTAGTTCACAGCTGCCTTCAGGAGTATCTGGTCCAGGTCGTGCGCCAAGGAAAAGCGGCAGAGAAGCTGCGAGGGCTGTCGTCAGGGCGTCCGCACTCGCCCGTCGATCAGGATGATCATTCGATCGGCCATTGGATAGCTACGAATCCCACGACACCGAATTCTGTGTCACAGAGAACGCAGAAGGAGGAACCTGCAACTTACATGTTCAGCGAGCAACCGACACTTCGCCAAAGCCATCATCAACAGTCCCCAAGATCATACTCATCCTCCTATCCGGCCCGTCCATTGGTGCACAGCATCTTTGGAGAGGAGAGCATCCGTCCTGCTGCACCTCTGCAGCCCGAAATCGACGGAAAGCGACTTTTCAAGCCCTTGGAGGACTATCTCGTGTCATGCTTCAGCTCGCTGCAGTGTGTGAACTCATCGTTTCTTCCAAGCCGTCCACACTACACTGCCCGACCGGAGAGTGATGATTCCCAACCTGTGTTCCCGACACAATCGACTGGCAACGCAACACGGCCAGTTTTTGCGCCTGAACCAAAGGGTGGAAACGTACGACGACAAACCGCCGTACCTCGATCCGACCCCAGGTGTGCCGAATCTCAATCGCAGCTGGTTGATCTTGATCCCAAGCTGTTGCTGCTCGGTAACTTTGCGGAAAACGGCATGTGGTGGACAGGGAACCAAAGAGAGTCTCAGCAGCATGCGCAATCAAAAGGACGCAAGACTTCAGAGGCTGCGCACTCAGTTGTCTCCATGCGTTGCCCTCAAATCGAATGGGACCAGGTCGCTTCGTGGTATGCTACATTGCTCAATGCGGCAGAGTCTTGGACTGCAATTTACGACAGTCTGTATCAGGAAGAGGCATTCGAGCCTCTATCCGCCGCCGCACTCCAAGATTTGGAAGACGTTCTGCTCGCAGCGCAAGAACGAGTGCAAAGGGTCTTGCTCAAAGTAACCGAAATGTTGCTCAAACGACCTGGACGTGCCTTAACCGACCCCGAAGACATGAGATTCCTTCTCATATTGCTCGAAAACCCCTTGTTATATGCCATACCGTCATATTATCGGGGCTCCAAGCAGTCAGGGACGGGCGGCTCACGAGGCGGCAAGAACGGGAGTGATTCAACTCATGCGAGAGGCGGCCCAATCTCAGGACAACACTCTGGGGTCATCAAACGGATTCTCGGCCTCATGTCGAATGCCTCAAACTCATGTCATACACACCTCATTGCATGGTTTGCACGGTACCCCGAATCCAGGTTCTCCATAATTAAGGACCTAACAAGCGGTTTCCTCACCTTTCGACTCATTCGCCAGAACGAGAAAAAGTATGAAGCCAAGGTCGACGTCATTGACGGTCTCATACCTAACATGAGCACCGGCCGGTCTGCAGCCTCGCTTCATGCAGCTCTCGGGACGTCGAGTTCATCAAAAAAGAAGCCGAAAGAGCAGCCGAAGAAGATGGTATACCATGACGATTGGCAGATAAGAGCTGCCGCACGCGTCTTGGCTCTACTGTTCGCTGCCAATAACACCTTGGGAGTCAGACGCGCAGATGCAACCATGCTGGGTAACTCCAGCGTCGTCCTGCGCGAGGGTGTCCAAGTGTTTGGTCAAGTCTTGCCAACCAGCGATTTCTACAACAGCATGATAGACTATGCTGACTTGATTGCTGATTTCGAGGCGTGGGAGACGAAGAGGAGCAAATTTGCCTTTTGTCAGTACCCATTTCTACTCAGCATTTGGGCCAAGTCTCAAATTCTGGAATACGATGCCCGCCGTCAAATGACGACGAAGGCGCGGGATGCCTTTTTCGATAGTATCATGACACGGAAGAATGTCACGCAGCACTTGACGCTTGACGTACGCCGTGACTGCTTGGTGGAGGACAGCCTGGCTGCTGTGAGCGAGGTGATTGGTAGCGGTGGCGAAGACATCAAGAAGCGCCTGCGCATCGAATTTAGAGGCGAGGAGGGTTACGATGCAGGCGGTCTCCGCAAAGAATGGTTTCTTCTCCTCGTCCGTGAGGTGTTCAACCCGGAGCACGGTACGTATTACTACAGAGAAAACCTTCGTCTCGCCTCGAACCACGACTAACTTAGCTGTCAGGCCTGTTCACCTACGATGAGGAATCACAGCTTTGCTACTTCAACCCTAATTCTTTCGAGACGTCGGATCAGTTCTTCCTCGTGGGCGTGGTCATTGGGCTTGCCATCTACAACTCGACCATTCTGGATGTGGCGCTTCCGCCGTTCGCATATCGCAAGTTGCTCGCTGCGGCGCCAATCTCCTCAATTCCATCATCTGCGCACCCACGTCCTGTCATGACGTATAACCTTGAAGACTTGGCTGAGTGGCGCCCACGATTAGCTGCAGGCCTAAAACAGCTGCTTGATTACGATGGTGACGTGGAGGAGACATTTGGCCTCGACTTTGTTGTCCCCGTTGAAAAGTACGGGACAGTGCTTCAGGTCCCCCTTTGTCCAGGAGGTGAATGGAAGTCTGTCACGAACGCAAACCGACGAGAATTCGTAGACTGCTATGTCCGCTACCTGCTGGACCACGCAGTCACCCGGCAATTTGAGCCGTTCAAGCGCGGCTTCTATACCGTCTGTGGAGGCAACGCATTGTCACTTTTCCGGCCGGAAGAGATTGAGCTTTTAGTCCGGGGCTCGGACACAGCTCTTGATATCGACTCGCTCCGAGCTGCAGCTGAGTATGACAATTGGGGCACTAAGAATCCTGATGGTACAGAGCCTGTCATCGGCTGGTTCTGGGACACGTTCAAGAGCGCCAAACCTTCAGAACAACGAAAGCTTCTGTCATTCATTACCGGAAGTGACCGAATACCCGCTATGGGCGCTGCGCTCCTTCCGATCAAGATATCCTGCCTCGGAGAGGACGAAGAACGTTATCCCATTGCTCGAACCTGTTTTAACATGCTGTCTCTTCGCCGTTACGGCTCGCAAGAACGATTGGAGCATATGCTCTGGACGGCTGTGCACGAAAGCGAAGGTTTTGGCTTGAAGTAAGCGGCACAGCGAATAAACAACTAACTTTCATCATTGTCATGGCGTATGGGAGTCAGGAATAGGCAAAGGATACCGCAAAGAGCGCATAAAGGGATGTCTTCGTCTGTAAAACAATAACTTTTGGCTGCCACGCAGGATCCGATGTGTACCAATCGTTGAGGGTGAGGTTCGCATACAGCCAATGAATTGACCTTGTTCATGAGCCAAGCAGTAAACTCGAATCGGTGTTTCGTATGGCAAGATGCTGGCCATGGTTCGAAATGTTCTCCCACAAATCGTACATCTACAATACTGATACAAACATGATTGCTGCCCGTGGCTGTCCACAAGTCGCCCAAGCTTAGTCGATCACGGACTCCCTGGCCTTCTTCAGAAGGTCCCTCTCCCGATTCCTCTCGTCAATCGTCGCCTTTTGCTTCTTCCTGTCCACGGCGCCCTGGCGCTCCATCTCCTCGACCTCCTTCATCTCCGCCTGCTCCTCGGGCGTCGGCAGGACAGGCTGGGCGCCCGTCTCGGCGAGGAAGCGCGCCAAAATCTCCTCGGAGCGCTGGTTCTTCATGTCAATCTTGACGACGCGCTCGTCGGCGGCCGGCGGCGCCGCCTTGGAGGTGTCGATGCCGGACGAGGGCGGCTGGATGCGCACCGCGGGTTCCGCGCCCGCGGCGGCCGCGTCGGAGAGATAGATGGACAGCAGGGCCGGGCCCTCATTTGAGTCTTTGCGGTTGACGATCATGGGGATCGAGGGATTGTGGAACTTGAGCCGGGGGAGCATGTCGCGCCAGAACCGCCTGCGGGCCACTCGTCAGAAAAAATCCATCATACGCGCGCTGCGGGACCTTTTCCCCTCCTTTTCCTTTGAGGAGAAGAGGAAACGCACCTAGGACCCATGTGGCCGTTGTTGTATGTCTTTGCGAACTCGACGTGGATTCGGGTCACCGTTGGGGGGATGACGGCTGCGCCGGGGCCGTGGCGTATCCTGAGCATCTGGTTTCGGGGGTCAGTACCTTGGTTTCTGGGTGCAGGGTGCTTCGGTACGGGAGAGGGGGGCCTCATACTTGCTGCGAAGAAGGTTAGCATTTGCGAAATCGATAGAAAGATCAGGGGTTACGGTGCTGGGGCAATTGGTAACGTACTGCCCGGAGCTTGTGCCACCTTGACGCTGCGCCTGTGCCGACCATTGTGAGGAGTTGGTTGCGGGGGTTGGTATCCGAATGATGTTCGAGTACCCTCGTGCCTTGGAGCTAGCAGCTATCTTCAAAGTCGAAGTCGCGTGTCAGAGGAGCCTCTTAGAAAATTGGTCGTGATGATTCGGGGCGAGCCGGGGCTTATCCGGATAAGATAAGATAATGCGATCTATCGCGCGTCAGTTCACCCAGAAATTTGGGGGGGTGATCTTCCTCCTCAGAAAGTTTCCAGAAACCACTCCAACTTCGAATACCCCCGACGACTCTTGGCAAGACGAGACAGTCGCATCACCGGCAATGCACCGAGCGCTGTCATCGAGATGGCTACGGAGCGCGCTGAGGATTGGTGACCGGGCCGCCCTGGCCGAGGTGCCTGGGTATCTGTGCCCAGCGCTCAGTCTCTCGGCGCAAAGGGGGCGAGGTGTTGCTCACCAGATGACGGTTGCGCACGGCCAACGAAGGTGTCTTCATGCCGAATCGAATCTTCATGAATCGAATCCATCGGAATCTCTCGAGCGACTGCCTTCGGATCCCGCAGATGCCAACGCGCTGGCTTTGGCGAAGCTGCCTCTACAATGCCATGGTTGCGGCGCCTTCACTCAGACCACGGAGCCTGACCAGGCTGGCTACTACGACTTGAACCGCAAATCTGTGCAAAAGTTTGCGGCTTCCGAACACGAGTACGAGATAAAGAAGGGGGAGATCGAGGAAGACTTTGTTGTGACCAAGGCTTTGGAGGGATTGGACGAACACAAGCTTCAAGAGCTTGACCTAGACCCTAGGACTCTGCTCGCCGGAGAGGACCTCGAGACTGATATTCCCTGTGAGCTCTAACCACGAACATCGATCCGTGGACATCTTTGCTTACATTCCGCTTAGCTTTCCCCCCCGCGCCGAATGCAACGCCGCTGTGCAACCGCTGCCATGCGCTCGTGCACCACCGCAAGGGCACGCCCATCTTCCACCCGAGCGTCGACGCCCTCCGCGAAACGATCGAAGAGTCGCCCTTCAAGAACAACCACATTTACCATGTCATCGACGCCGCGGATTTCCCCATGTCGCTCGTGCCGAAATTGCACCAGCTTCTGGGCGACGTCAGCCTCAGGCGGCGCAACCGCAGGTCGCGTGCCGGACGCTACTACAAGGACCGCAAGTTTGACATGAGCTTCATCATCACGCGCTCCGATCTTCTGGCGCCGACGGAGAAGCAGGTCAACGCCCTGATGCCGTATCTGCGCGAGGTGCTGCGGAGCGCCTTGGGGGAGTTTGGCGACGTTGTCAGGCTGGGCAACCTCAAATGCGTCAGCGCGAGGCGGAGCTGGTGGACGAAGGACCTCAAGCAGGAGATTTACAAGCGCGGCGGCGCTGGGTGGATGGTCGGCAAGGCCAACGTCGGCAAGAGCCAGCTCTTCCAGGCCGTGTTCCCCAAGGGCACGACGGCCGACATACCGTTCAAGAACGCCGTCGAGGTGTCCATGTTTTCGCGGGAGGAGGAGGACGAGAACCTCAAGTACCTCGACGATGGGGCGGAGAACTACGACGAGCGTCTCGACCTCGACGCCCTGCTGCCGCCGGCGCGCCCCGAGAGCAACTACCCGGAGATGCCCACCGTGTCGTCTCTGCCTGGCACGACAGCCTCCCCGATCCGCATCCCCTACGGCAACGGCAAGGGCGAGCTCATCGACCTGCCGGGCCTCGTGCGGAGCGACCTCGAGCTCTTTGTCCAGGAGGACAAGCGCCAGGCCCTGGTCATGCAGGACAGGCTCAAGCCCGAGCAGCACTCGATCAAGCCGGGCCAGTCGCTGCTGCTCGGCGGCCTCATCCGCATCACGCCGCGGACGCCGGACCTCATCTTCCTCGGCTACAACTTCACGCCGCTGCCCGAGCACCTGACGTCGACCGACAAGGCCGTCGCCTTCCAGGCGCAGACGAGGACCGCCGCGCAGGTCGACAACATCTGCACCCCCGACGCGGCCGACAAGATGCAGCTCGCGGGCTCCTTCCCGCTCCGCCACGACGTGACCAAGCTCCGCGCGGGGCCCATCACGCGCAAAGACGCCATCAACATCAAGGTCGAGAACCTGCCGTACCGCGTTCTGTCGACCGACATTCTCATCGAGGGCGTCGGCTGGGTGGAGATGACGGCCCAGGTCCGCGCGAGGCAGCTCTTCGCCAAGCCCGAGGCCAAGGTGGCGGCGGAGCCCGTCGTCGACGACACGCCCGAGGACAAGCCGCAGGATCCCTTTGACGCCATCCTGTCGCGTGTGCACGGCGCCGAGAAGGAGAAGCCCAAGGCGCCGCCGGCCGCCGACAAGAAGACGAACAGCAAGGCCGGCGGACTCGACGAGCCCGTCGAGCTCAACTGGCCCGTGGTCGACGTGTACAGCCCGCTCGGCAAGTTCGTCGGCGTGCGACCCCCGATGAACGGCTACATGCTCAACAAGCCGCGCGTGCTGGCGAAGCACAAGAAGGCGCGGCCGCGCAGGAGCATGAAGGGCGCCAAGAAGAGGGACAAGATGGCGCGCAGACATGCCGCTGCTGCGTCCGCTTCCGCTTCGACGTCGGCTTGAGGCGAGGGCACGAGACGCATCCAGAGAAGACTGTCATAATACTGTATTTTATCCTGTCCATTACGACTTGTACCATTATGCGGGGTCATAAAAAAACTCCCAGGAACCCATCAATCACCCCTTCTCAAAGCTGGGGAAGATTCGCCGATAGACAGATACTCTTCATGGAATCTTTCCTTCCCATGACCCGTGATTCCGTAAATCAGTCTTCCCGGAATTTCTCCTCCACGCAGCCAGTGGCGCCTTAAAACACCGACATCAGCATGACAATATGGGTATCAGCCTGAACACTCCGTAGACGCCCAGGGCTCTCCTCGGATAGAAGAACCACTCCCAAAGTTACAGAAAAAAAAAAGACCAGAAAAGCGTGACGTTCGTTCTGGGCCCCTTCCCGCCCGAAAGTGCGTCACGGCAGACTCGGGCCTTACGCCGTCCCTGGCGTGACCCCGACAGCCGTGCCGTTAACAGCCTGCCCGGGCGTGACCAGCTCGCGGAAGCGTGCATAAAACGTCTCGGCGTCCAGACCCTCCTGCTGCAGCTGCTGCAGCTGCTCGAGCTGCGCCTGTCGCCTCGCGGCCTCGAGCTCCCGCCTCGCCTCCCACCGGACGGAGACGAGAGCGGCCTTGCGCAGGTCAAGCTCGGCGTCGGCGGCGGCGCGCTGGGCGTCGGTCATGGCGCGGTAGTCGGTCTTGAGGCGGTCGAGGTCGAGGGCGGGGTTGGCGGTTGTGGCCGCTGTGAGGTTGCTGCTGCCGCTGGCGCCGCCACCGGTGAGGCTGCCTGGAGGCAGAATCTCGTTGAGGAGGTCGGAGGCGGAGGCGCGGGCGCGGGCGGCGCGGGCTTGGGAGTCTGTCGAGGCTGCTGAGGAGAGAGGGCCGCCTGGTGTTCGGAGATGCTGCTGTTGCTGCAGCTGTTGGGCTTGCTGTTGGCGTTGGAGGTCCTTGGGGTATGCTGGTTGTGTTGGTGCAGGCTGCTGTTGAGGCTGCTGTTGTTGCTGTTGCTGTTGAGGCTGTTGTGGTGGTGGCTGTTGCTGTTGTTGTTGCTGCTGCTGCTGGATGGGCCGGATGGGATTCGGGTTGGGAGCGAGGTTCAGTGGGGGCACAACGCTCAGCTTCGGATCAAGGGATGGCGAGGCGGAGGGGGAGGCATCGTCAGACATGGGCTGCTGCAGGCCGCGAGAGGACGAGGTGGGCGTGAGGCCGTGGCCGGCGCCGGGCGTGAGCGTCTTGGAGCGGCGCAGGGTTGTTTTGATGGTGTTGAAGGGAACGTCAGGTAAGTACTTGTGGATTTTCTTAGCACCGTTTCCAGCGGCGCGAAGCTCGAAAATGCGAGCGCGCATGGTCGGGTCGAGCTGGCGGCCGCGAACCATTGCTGTGAAGGAACAATGGATGGGCAGTACGGATGGCGGAACGTGTTGATGAACCCTTGGGCCGGCGGCGGAAGGGATGGAGCTATTTCGAGCGATGGCGTGGGTGAGGTAGGTGGTCAAATGGATGATGGGAGTTGCTGGGTGGGTGAGGTGTGGGTGTGGGTGAGGGTGAGGGTGAGGATGAGGAGGGTGAGGGTGAGGTTCAAGGTCGCGGGTGGTTTTCTCGTGTTGGGGGCGTGTTGTGTTGGAGGAATTGGCTGGGGGCAGGAGGGAGGTCAAGAAGAGGAGGGAGGTCTGGGAGGGAGGCTTGGGAGGTCTGGGAGGTCTGGGCGGTCTGGGAGGTCTCAGACTCCTGGGAGGTCAGGCCAGGTGCCGAATTTGCAGAGGGGGGTGCATTCAACGCGTTCGGGCTGGGGGGAGCGCAAGCGCCAGGTACTTCCAAGCTGGAGAGCAGTCGCGCTCCCCAGGAGGGGGGGGGGGTGTTGGCATTATTACCAGGGTTTGCTTTGGCGGGACGCGATGTGACGCCCGTCCCTTGTGCTCCTGACAATGACGCGGGGTGGCCCTGACGGTGTACATAGTTGCAGGCCGAAGTTTCGCGGAGGTCCCCCGTCAAGACCCACCAGTTCACCCCCCTAGCTGTCCCACAGGCAACTTCTCAGGTACAAGCTGTCTCCGCGTGAGGCCTGGCAGCCAGCTGTCAACCCAAAATCACTGCTGCACCCCTTGTCGAGGCGAGGTACTTGCCCCCACCGCGATATTTACCGTACCCGACGGTACCAAGTACCATGCTGATGTAATCCGGTGGGATCATGAACCTGACTCTGACCCGACTCTGACCCCACCAACGTCAGAAGTTCCTGACTTCATCTTTCTCCCTCTTCGCAGCGTCGCCTCGCGTGCCCGGGTTCATCGCTGGTAATTGATTGCGTGTACGGCACTGCTTCAAGCTTCGCTTCTCGGCTCACGGCAGTTTCGACAGCGGCTACCCAAACACCACTCACGCGTGTTCTCGGGAATCCATCGGCCATCTCTCGCCGCCACCCAGGATCACCCACCACCAAAAAGCCATGGCTTCAGCGGCACAGCGACCTCTGCAGCGCGGGAGCCCGGCTCCCTCGCCAACACAGACAGTGACCTCGGCGCCAGTGCGCCCAAACACACAGCAAACAACGCTCCGGTTGCGAGGCGCCCACGCGCCATCACGACCGTCGGTCCAGTGGGCTGACGATGTTGTCGACAACGAGGGGCTCGGTCGAAAGAAGTCCAAGGGTATGTTCTGCCGTGCGCAGGGAACTTGAACCGTCCTGACACGACGCCAGTGTGCTGCATTTACCATCGTCCCAAGGGCATCGACGAGTCCAGCGATGAATCGTCCTCCGACTCGTCTTCCGACGGCTCCGATTCTGACAACGAGAGCGGCAGGAGGAGAGTACCCGACGGCGACAGCAAAGGCAAAGGCAAAGGCAAAGGCAAGGCGAAACCACATGAGTGCGACGACCATGATCACGACCACGGCCATGCGCATCACCAGGGCAGGCCTGACAAACGCGGTGGCGACAAGGGCAAGGAGAAGCGGCTGCCCAGTCCGAATGCCTATGAGAGGATACCCAAGCCGCCGAAAGCGAAGAACGACCAAGGCGAAAATACGAAAAATTAGATGACAAAAATCAAATGACAAGAGAATCTGCATAACTGGCCTCCGGCGAGGGGCTGACGGCGTCATGGGACAGACACGACAAGGATAAACAGACATGGGGACGGATGGCATACATAGGATACCCGGGTCAGCATTTGCAGAGCACAGTGCAGGAGCAGGTGGGCGTGAACATGCTAATATCATCTGGTATTCGTTTTGGTCGACTTGATTCGATTCATACCTGGTATCATGGTGTTCGTGTGATGAGAGAGCATGGCCATTTTCAGTGGTCAGCAAAAACGGACGACGGGTCCATGACACGGTTTCACGAGGAAACGATCAACCCGGTAAGCTGCAGACAACGTACACAGCAAGAGTGACTTGATTTCCTCTCGAACACTTATGCCTCGACACTGCACGCCGTGGACAGGGACCTCCGGGCGGCACCTCGGCCAGCGCCGGCGGCGAGGCAATGGGGTGTCTGATAAGATGCACCACCAATAAAGGGGTTCAGGGAGACCCAGATGGCGGGGTGAATATGACCCACAGCGGGGTAGCAAGAACCCAGCACAGCTCCAGGCCCATGGATCCCTCTGATCGTCACGCCTCGACAGACTTTCTGCTTTTTCCAACCATCCATCTACTCTAACCCATTGAACCATCGGTCAACTTGTCATCTCACCCTCTGAGTTTCCCAAATATCATCCCATTTTTGTTCTCCCGTTCATCTGACTTGGGCATCTCACACACGACCATGTCTCACTCACACGACGGCGGCGCCAGCCACTCCCACTCCCATGATGCCAGCATCTCAGCTGCTGAGCATGGCCACTCGCACGAGATCCTTGACGGGCCCGGCAGCTACCTCGGCCGCGAGATGCCCATCGTAGAGGGCCGCAACTGGTCTGACCGAGCCTTCACCATTGGCATCGGCGGGTGAGCCCTCCCCCTCCCCCCTTGCCCCCTTGCCCCCTTGCACCCCCTTTCCGGCATCCTGCTGTTCCCCCCCTGACAGACATTGGGACGAAACGGCAGACCCGTGGATTCCGGCAAGATGGCCCTCATGCTGGCGCTCTCGCGGGCGCTGCGCGAAAAGTACTCGCTCGCCGCCGTGACCAAGGACATCTTCACGCGCGAGGACGCCGAGTTCCTAACCCGCCACAAGGCCCTGCCGGCCTCGCGCATCCGCGCCATCGAGACGGGCGGCTGCCCGCACGCCGCCGTGCGCGAGGACATCTCGACCAACCTCGCCGCGCTCGAGGACCTGCACCACGAGTTCGACACGGACCTCCTCCTCATCGAGTCGGGCGGCGACAACCTCGCGGCCAACTACAGCCGCGAGCTCGCCGACTTTATCATCTACGTCATCGACGTCAGCGGCGGCGACAAGATCCCGCGCAAGGGCGGGCCTGGCATCACGCAGAGCGACCTGCTCGTCGTCAACAAGACGGACCTCGCCGAGATTGTCGGCGCCGACCTTGGCGTCATGGAGCGCGACGCCCGCAAGATGCGCGAGGGCGGGCCCACCGTCTTTGCCCAGGTCAAGAAGGACGTCGGCGTCGACCACATTATCAACCTCATCACGAGCGCCTGGCGGGCCAGCGGCGCCGAGGGCAACAGGAAGGCTGCCGGTGGGCCGCGGCCGACGGCGGGGCTCGAGGAGCTGAATGCGTGAGGTACATAAAAGAGAGGGAGAGGGCGAGGGAGAAAGAGACCAAATGTCGGGCGCGACAATGATGATAAAAGGGGCAGGCCCAAGAAACGCCCATTTTTTGCCTGCCAATGTCTGTCTATATACCACTTATGAAGAGAGAGAGAGCGAGCCCCGAGGCCTTGATCACTTTTCCCGCCCGTTCTTTTCCCTTTGCTCCTGCATTTCGTTTCGCAGAAGCTCGTCATGTCCCTTCTCATGTCCATCATTCGATCATCATGTCATCCTGCGCAGCCTGCGCCTCTCGCGACCCCAGATCCAGCAGCGCGCCCGTGTACGCAGACGCCTCACGGGGCCACACCCGCTTGTACAGGCTCACGCCGACGGCGTCCTGCGGGTTAATGTGCGCGTCAAAGGTGGCCTTGAAGTAACCGTGCGTGCCGAGGGCCTCCTTGACGTACCCGCTCCTGCCGCGTCTCGTCCACAGCGGCAGCGCCTTGAACCACTCGACGTCCTCGCGGTTGAAGAACATGTAGCGGATCGTGACGATCCTCTTGTTGATGTGGTACGGGTGGCCCGTGAGAATGACACGCTTCGCCACGACGCGAGACGTCGAGGGCGGCAACGCCGTGCCCGTGGCGATGAGCGTCAGACCGACGTCCGACGCCTGCTCCTCCTCCGACTGCGCCACCTCGGTGCTCGGGGTCGTGCGCTTGAAGAACAGCACCGGGACAGCACCCCAGGTCACGGGTCCCGTGAACGTGGCCACGGCCGACTGGCCCGGGTGCAGGTAGCGGCAGTACTTGTGCACGTCGTTGGGCGTGTTGCCGGGCTGCGAGAAGAGCGGGTTGATCGTGAAGCGGCGGGCGCCGCACTGCACGATGAGCTCCTCCTTCGACTTGACCGACTTTTCATAGTCGGAGCTGAGGTTGATGAGGTAGTTGACGACCGTCTTCTTCTGCTCGTGCCTCAGCAGCGAGACGAGCGTCACGGGCTGGCCGGGCTTGTAGGACTTCTCAAACGTGACGGGCACGTTCTTCAGGTGCACCGCCACCCTCGTGCCGGGGGCGACACCGCCCACGAGAGCCTCGCGGGTGAACCGTGAGCGGGAACCCTGGTAGTCGGGGACACGCAGCAGCCTGCGCCAGTCCTCAGGCTCGTACGCGCGGTCCTCGTCCTCGACCCACTCGCTCGTCCGCAGGCTCTTGAGACCTCTGTACTTGGCTAACCTCTCACGGGCGGCGACACCAGGGTGCAGCTCAATCTCGTCAGGGAACTCCTTGTCGTCCTCGACCTCATCTACCTTTCTGTTTTTCCTGAACGCCGCGAGCTGCTTGGCGTCCTCGTCCTCGTCGAGATCCTGAAACATCTCCGACTGAGGGTACTCTGACGGCGCACCCTCTGTCGGCGGTTTCGGCGCGTAGCCCTCGAGGCCGTCCTCGGGGCCAATCTCCTCCGAGCCAGAGGACTCGTCCTCCATGTCAAAGTCCTCCATGTCTGAGCCCGAGTCGGACACATCCTCTCCGAGATACCAGGCCGACTGGTACTTGGACGTTCCCTTGGGAACCTTCTTGGGCTGCTGTGTGGGGTCGAGGGGGTTGTCGTCCGAGAAGTAGTGGTGGTCGTCGAGCAGGACGCCCTTTTTCGCTGTTGTGGCAACGGACATGGCGCCGTCATCCATGTCGTCGTCGTTGTCGTCGCCCTTCATGGCCTCGTCAGGGGCCAGGTCGAGGAGTTCATCCTGGTCCTCGTCGGGCACTTCGAGGATCTCCTCGGCGTGAATGTCCTCGACGGCCATGGCCTCGCCCTTCTTCTTCCTGGTGATGGGCGCCGCCATGATCTTCTCAATCTGGAACAGGCCGTGGTCGCCCAACTGCACCAGCCTGTTGGCCTTGAGCCCCTTTCCTCGCACGACACCGGTGATGACTGTGGACGCCGTGCCGGACGAGGCAAACTCAATGTCCTCGGCCAGCAGCCAGCTCCTCTCGTCCCTCCACCTGACGCCCTTGGGTGTGGTGTTGCACAGCGAGCGCATGAGGTTGGAGCACTCCTGGCGGCTGTCGAGGCTGTAGAGCTTCTCCTGCTCGGGGTGGAAGTGGGTGATGTAGGACTTGAGGGAGCCGAGGACCTGCGTCTTCTGCTTGGCGGGTTCGATCTTGTCGAGGCCCTGGACGATGGTGTAGAGGGTCGACATGCCCTGGCTCTCGAGACTGCGCAGCATGAGCTCGCCGAGGGGGTCGACCTCGACGCCGGCGCTCAGCATGACGACGACAAAGTCGGCGACGCGCGTGCCGTCGAGGACGGCGTTGAGATCGCGCTTCAGGGGCACGTATTGGAGTTTCTGCTTGAAGCGGTCGACGGAGACGCGGAAGGGGTTCTCCTCCATGTCGGCCTCAATGTCGAGGCTCTCGTTGAGCTGCTTGATGGCGAAGCTGACGTCGCTGTCTTCGCAGAGGGGGACGATGGCAACGACGCGAGGGGCGCCATCGCGGCCGGCAAATAGGGACGTCTCCTCGAGGTGCTCCTTTTGCTTGGTGAGACGGTGCTGCTTGGCCTGGTTGCGTCGGTCGAACTTGGACATGACATTCTGGTGAGGGGTCTTGCGCTGGCCCTTTTCGGTGCCGGCCACCTTGCCTGTTGAGGATCATGTTAGTGAAATCGTAATGGATAAAGTGCAAGCAGAAGGAGAATGTATCGAGGGGAACTTGCGCCCAGATGACTGGACAGCATGGTCATCATACCCTTAGCAGCGTTGCGCAGCGCACTCTTCGTCGCATGCTTGGACTTGAAGGGCTTGTGGGAGACCTTCGTCGTGGAGCGATGGGAGTGGCTCATGGTGGACATGTTGCCGTCGCCTCCGGCCTTGAACCTGAAGGGTAAAGAAGCCACTTTTGGTGATATCGTCTTGGGGGATTCGAGAGGGGCCAAAAGGGTCGAGAGCAAGACGGTGAAGTGAGGTGAAGTTGTGTGGGATGGTGGTGCTGCAGAAGCGGGCAAGGCGGGACACACTACAGCGGGCAGCCAGTGATGAAGTGCCTGAGCCGGGGCATTTTAGTGGGTGATGCAGCACACAAACACCCTTCTGGCTTTGGGGGGCAGCAGCGGGCCGTTGCAGGTCGCAATGGCGGGGTCGTTTGCTGGTCGCTCTTTCTCACCCCTCTGCATCCAGAAATTTTTCTGTGGCTATCTTATCGCCAGCTTATCGGTGGGTGGGGCGAAATAGAACGGCCCTGGCCAATGATGAGCGTTCGATAAGTCTTGCAGATCTGGAAGACTCCCAAAGATTTTTTGGACTGGACTGAGAGACTGTGAGGAAGAGTGCCATTGGTATCATATCGGCGTCTGATGATTCGGATCACGACTTGACCTCGACCTCGACCACGACTTGATTCCGGCCTCGATCTCGATTCCCGTCTATCCTGTCCATACCTCGCCCACCCACCATGGAAGGAACAGTATCACGGACAGATGCCGCGCCAGCAAGGCAACACTCCAATGGCGCGACCGCCGTCGAGCGCCGGACAAACCTCTTGACCAAGTCGGAGCGCGACAAGCTGAAGCGCCGCAAAGAGGCCGATCAGTCCTACGGCCGCGGCAAAAAGGTCAACCTCAAGACGGTACGCGACAAGAAGCTCCGCGGCAGCATGAAGCGCCTCGAGGGCAAGTTCGAGACGGCCGCCCTGCGCGCCCGCGACGCCGAGATTCTGCTCGAGAAGACAAGCGGCTTCCTCGAGCCCGAGACGGAGCTGGAGAGGACCTACAAGGTCCGCCAGCAGGACATCATCGAGGATGTGGCCGTGTCGACGGCGCAGAAGCGGTTCGAGCTGAAGCTCGACCAGCTGGGACCCTACGTTGCCGAGTACTCGCGCAACGGCAGGGACCTGCTGATGGCGGGGCGAAAGGGCCACATCGCGACGATGGACTGGCGCGAGGGCAAGCTGGGGTGCGAGCTGCAGCTGGGCGAGACGATCAGGGACGTCAAGTGGCTGCACAACAACCAGTTCTTCGCCGCGGCGCAGAAGAACTACGTCTACATCTACGACAAGGACGGTGTCGAGCTGCACTGCCTGAAGAAGCACCGCGAGGTCACGCACATGGAGTTCCTGCCCTACCACTTTCTCCTCTGCACAATGGTAAGTTGATCGCCAGCAAAAATTATGCGTGGAGACGTCTGACTGACGAAACCACGCCAGGCCACCAACGGCTGGCTCAAATACCAAGACACGTCAACGGGCCAGATTGTCACGGAGCTCCCCACGAAACTCGGTCCCCCGACGGCCATGACGCACAATCCCTACAACGCCATTATCCACGCCGGCCACCAGAACGGCACAGTCACCCTCTGGTCACCAAACTCCCACGACGCCGTCGTCAAGCTGCTGGCGCACCGCGGCGCCGTGCGGTCGGCGGCCGTCGACCGCGAGGGCCGCTACATGGTGACGACGGGCCAGGACTGCAAGATGGCCATCTGGGACATTCGCATGTTCAAGGAGGTGCACCAGTACTTCACGCGGCAGCCGGCGTCGTCGGTGGCCATCTCGGAGACGGGCCTCACGGCCGTGGGCTGGGGCACGCAGACGACTGTCTGGAAGGGCCTCTTCTCCAAGCACGCGCCGACGCAGGAGAAGGTGCAGAGCCCCTACATGACGTGGGGCGGCGAGGGCAAGCGCGTCGAGCGCGTGCGCTGGTGCCCCTTTGAGGACACGCTCGGCATGGGCCACGACGAGGGCTTCTCGTCCATCATTGTGCCCGGCGCCGGCGAGGCCAACTTTGACGCCCTCGAGGTCAACCCGTTCGAGACGGCCAAGCAGCGCCAGGAGGCTGAGGTCAAGGGCCTTCTCAACAAGCTGCAGCCCGAGATGATTGCCCTCGACCCCAACCTCATCGGCAACCTCGACCTGCGCTCCGACAAGCAGCGCCGCGCCGACAAGGACCTCGACGCCAAGCCCGAGAACGTCGAGGAGGAGATCCGCAACCGCGCCAGGGGCAAGAACGGCGCCCTCAAGAAGTACCTGCGCAAGCAGCGCAAGAAGAACATCATCGACGAGAAGAGGATGAAGGTCGACGAGATTTGGAACGAGCAGCAGAAGCTCAGGGAAAAGAAGACGCAAGAGGTCGAGGCCGACCTCGGCCCGGCGCTGTCGAGATTCGTCAGGAAAGCGTAGGCGGGGCGGAGTGGGAGCTGGAGCATAGGAAGAAGAAGAAGCAGACGCAGAAGCATGGGAAGAATTCGTGTCGCACCTTGTAGGAACCATGCCCGGGGCTGGGGTTTTGCATCTAGCTGGCGTTTTGGAACGTGGGATTTGGTAGTCTGGTCATTGAATACCCTGGCATGTCACAACTTGATGTGCCCGAGTGGTTTTGAGATTCCGTTTCTTCGTGAATTCCGATCTACCTGCGCAAAGTGCGTTCCGCTCCATCAATGACGACCTAGGTCTTTGCTGTGTGTCTGTGTTCGTGCTTCCGCACGCACGCCCATCTTCATATACAGCAACTGCCAAGCAGATTGCAGTCCTGCCCTTCACACCTTTTTCTGTTTCCCATACCATGAGCACCATTTCCCTCGCATCTAACCACAAATAAAAGTCAAAGACATGAAAATTCTATGTCGACCAAGGCCAAAACATCCCTGCCACAAGAGCCTGCCGCTCACAGCAGCTTCAGATGCCCGGTAATCTTATCCACCAAGCTCTTAGGCGCCGGACCGACACCAAGCACCGTCAGGCTGCCAGCCTCAATCTGCGTGCGGCCAGCATCGGCAATGACCTCGGCCGTGACCCCCTGAGCGCGCGCCGCGGCCCGCAGCTTCTTCAGCTCGTCCTCACCCTTAATTTGGACGGCGATTTTGGCCTGGCCGAGGCGCTCCCAGCGGTCGAGCAGACGGGCCTCGGCGGAGGACGGGCCGTTCTTGGCGGCGGCGCGGGCGAGCACCTTGTAGCATGCGAGGGTGGCGTGGGAGCTCTGGGCGGCCATTTTGCCTATGGGCGGGCGCGGGTCAGTCCATTGTTCATTGTCTTGCAGGTGGTAAGCAGGTGGGTGGGAAAGAGAACTACCCTTTGTCATGCCGAGGTCTGTCCTGACGACGAGGACGAGCTTGCATTCCTCCTTGCCGACATCTGCAATGGGCACGGCCTTGGCCTTCTTCTCGTCCTTCTTCTTCTCCTCCTGGCGCAGGCCGTCGCGGCGGTCGGCGGCCTCGCCGTTGGCCCAGTTGGGGGCGTGGTCGAGGATGGTGTCGTCCTCGTCAATGTCGGACTCGTCGCTCTCGACGGGGTCGCGGAGATTGCCGCGGCGCTCGGCCTTGAGCGCGGGGGAGATGAGGTAGCCGCGAATGGCGAAGACGCCGAGGGCGAAGCCGGAGAGAAAGGTCACGGCGGAGGTGGTGAGGATGAGGTGCAGCGTGTCGGACATGGTGGGGGGAGAGTGCCGCGGGCGCGGGCTTGAGCTTTGGCGGGTGCGTGGATTCGTATGGCCTGCGGTGGTAGCAATGCAGCTTCGATTTGGTCGGTGAGGAAGCGGATCGAGAGAGCCCGTGTGATGTTGGCAAGGACAAAGTTGAGGGTCAGAGTTGAGGTTTGTCAGGATGCGGGAGCTGCGGCAGGTCTGGAAGCTTGGCTCAAAGCTTTGGTGTTCGAGCGTCCACACCCCACTGACTGCCAGGACTTGCCAGATACCTTAAGGTACCTTGCCTTGCCTTGGGTACTTAGGTCTCCAGGTAGGTAAACTTGGTATGTGCACTGACGTTTGCAGTGAGCTCCTGTTTCAGCAGCGGGATCGACTCATGAGCTCCCCTGTCAGTTGCTTCGATGACCAACTCAAACGCCAATGGCTTTGTACAAGAGGGACAATGAAAACTGCACCAAGTTCTATTCATACAATTAGTCTAGTATAATACTGGTGAGATGCCTTACAAATATTGACGTAATAATCATCCAAAGTCCGCACACCGAGACTACAATCTGCAGCGTTTGATCTGCAACACCAGGATAGTATGGAAAATGAAATGCTGTGCAATAGGATGAAATGAATTGACACAGGCATTTTTTTTAAATACAACACCATAAATGGGGTTCTCTGTACTATTGAAACTCCTCCATGCTGTCAATCGCACCTGAAGCCCTGTCTTGCCCCTGGTGGACCACTTTGAACTCTAAGTTCGTCAATCAGCAGCCCCAGACTCATCTCACTGGAAGCACCTCACCTCACCCGCCTCCCCTAAACAGCCACTCACTCGTTGAGCATCGCCCCCCATGACGGACCAGAAAGCCGTCGTCGTGGCCCTCAGCGGCTGCTCGTCCAGCGGCAAGACAACCCTCGCCCGTCTCCTCCGCGACATTTTCCCCAACACCTTTATTCTCCACGAGGATGACTTCTACCGCGCGGAAGAAGAGTACATCCACAGACCATCCCCCACGACAGCCAGACAGCCCAGCTGACATGTATGTCGCCTCGCAGACTGCCCTCCAAGAACGGCCTCCTAGACTGGGACTGCCCCCAAGCGATCAACATCACGGACATGGAAAAGGCCCTCACCCACATCCGCACCTCCGGCACATTCCCCGTACGTCCCTTCCCTTTCCTCCCCGCTTCCCCCCCTCTCTCTCTAACCCAAACCTCAAGCCGTTCGTCGACTCGAAAGAGGACCAAAACTCAGTAGGCGCCTGCCCCGTCAGCACCGCCAAGATCGCAGCCCTCCAAGCCAAGGTCGCCGCCTGGCTCCGTCCCCCGTCGCCAGGCCACGCCGTCTTCGCCTCGGGCCTCCGCCTCTGCCTCTTCGACGGCTTCCTCCTCTACTGCAGCGAGATGCAGGCCGCCATGCGTCTCATCGACGTCAAGCTGTTCCTGACCGTCAGCCGCGCGCGGGCGACGCAGAGGCGCGAGGCCAGGGACGGCTACGTCACGCTCGAGGGGTTCTGGAAGGACCCGCCGGGGTACGTGGACGCCGTTGTCTGGCCCAACTATGCGGATGCGCACGGCTGGTTGTTTGAGGGGCGTCATGTCGAGGGGGCCTTGGACCGCGGGGTGTTGAGTGAGAATGGCATCCTGGCGCAGGAGGGCGATGAGCTGGATGTCGATATGGAGAAGACCTTGGAGTGGGCGGTTGATACTGTCATGGCCGAGCTGGAAAGGCGGCTGAAGCAGTAGCGGTAGATGCTTGACATCCTTGGGTGGCAGAAATTGGTTCACATCTTGTCGACGATGAAGCCTGGAGACCCGGTGCCAGCGACGTGTGGGCACATAGCCGACGATAGAGTAGCCAGATCGGCCACGGTATGTGATAGACTGGCATCATGAACGCAGGAAATATAGAGGTCTCAGTTTATCAACCTTACCATTGCTGAATACTAAAGGAAACTCACAACCAGGCAACCTCCTATCAGCTCTGCCACTCATCAGACCTCTCCAGCTCCCCCTCACACTCGCTGGGTACCGTCAACACTCGGTTGCTGCCTGCTTCCCAGACCACGGAGCCACCACTTTCAACCATCACATATTTGTATTCTACCACTTGACCCGCCGGCAGAGCGATTGTCACGCGCCACGACGGATCCGTGGCCGTGTATTGCAAGGCGTCCAAAGGCACGGCATGCCCAGGATCCCATCTTCCCAAACCCGGCTGGTTTCCGACGACCCGTATGTTCTGCCCTACCCGAGTGGATACACGCTCTTTGAACCTGACTAGACAGGTTGAGGGTCTTGGCAGTTTGAGAGGGGGGGTTTCCGAGGGCGGTGTGCCGGGGACTAGGTTTGACGGGAAGGTTGTTGCCGTCGCTGTGGCATATACGCCAAAGACCGACGTTGCTGAGCAAGTCGCCGGGATCAGAGTAGCATCTGCGTTGATCCAGCCAGGAGACTCAAGGCCAGCTCGTCGCCTGATGGCAGTCAGGAAAGACGCGTAAGACCAAGTAAGATCCCGCGCTGAAAGGGGCTCGCCAGTATTGCGGTCAAATTGTTCATCCAGCGTTCCATCGACTGGCGTAAAGTTGGCCACGACCTTGACGAATCCATCTGCATATGTTAAGATGGCATCCGTCAAGCTGGCATAGGCTGACGTCTGGTTATCATAGGTGCCTGTGGTGATAGAGGGCAGATGGGGTTGGAAAAATGATAGGGAGACCTCTGTGACAGTGATGGATCCTTGAAGCTTCCAGACAAGGAGAGCGTCATAGAGTTGCTCAGCAGCTGCCAGTGTCGTGAGGTACCATGCCTGGCCGCCATAATACACATCTTCTGGATACCGACCGATCGCTACAGCGGACGAGGGGGAGATACCGTCATTGATGCTGTACAGGGAGCGGAAGGAATCAACTATTGCCTTGTGGCTTGCCAAAGCTCTATCACTGCAGGGCTGGAATGTTGCAGCATCACAGCCAGCAAAAGGGTCGAAAGTGTGGATAGAACCTAGAATGGAGTTCGCATCCAGACCCGATCTTTGGCTATCGTGATGGACTGGTGAGGGTAGAAGCGTCAGATGCCGAAGACGTATGCGGTGGCACCCAAAGAAACTCACTGTTCGCAAGGATGTGTTTGGCTGATGGTGACCAAAAGGATTGCATGAAGCATAGGATATGAGGGGCAATGGCTTCACAAGACTTGCATTGAAATCCAAGGGTTCGAGCAAGCGAGGCACCCTCAACGAGAGCTGGTTGAACGGTGAGTGTTAGTATTTAAACAAAGGCATCCGCGTGTCGCAACGAACCTCTGTGCTGGCTCGCTACCGTAAAGAACGAGCTTCCATAAACTTCCTCCCAGAGGTCGAAGCCCGTTTGGTTCCTAGCATATCCAGTAAGTGAGGTGCATTCAGACGAGAGTATACTTATTGTACCAGTATTGGGCAACATAGGCGAGGTCATTCTGGACAACGGGCCATAATACGTCTTCAGCTGTCGAAGCATGTCCATTACTGACGAGCCACTTGGCATATCCGATGATGGCAATAGCGCGCAGTGCAGGCCCATCACGCTGTGGCCGTCCTAATCCGTGTTAGTTGTCTGAGAAGACGGGTACAGGGCATGGGCGCAATACCCCAGTCTCCCGTGAATGCCGTAAGATCAACGTTGAACTTGGCTTCGCCGAGTCCTTCTCCGTTCCAGAGCTCGCCGGATGGATTGCTGACGCCCTGTAGCTGAGCCGAAGACGCCACGTACTGTTGGATCTTGTCTTGCAGGGCAGGATCAAACTTATCGACGAAGATGTCCACGAGTGACTTGAATACTAGTCCGCTATCCCGTGTCCAAGTGTAAAAGTCTGGCAGCGATGATTAAACGCTGGGCTGACACCGGATCCCAGATGACCACGATCCATCGCTCGGAGCAACTCACATGGCGGATCCTCCCGACTCGGGGATGCAATTACAACACCAGGGCTTGAGCCTTGTGCCTGGCAACCTTCAGACCCAATGTTACACAGCACTCCATCATAGGCGATCGGATACTGCCTTTGTATGAAGGACTCGAGATCAGATGCTGGTGGGGTGGCGGCGATGTTGCCTAGGATGTGCTGCACGGCGACAGAGCCTAGAAGGAGGGCAGACGACAGGTACGACATGAAGGGCTGTGCGAGGGAACTGGTGAGGTTGGCCGGGAATGCCTCGAGAGTGAGGCCGTGAAAGAAGGACATGTTGATAGTGTGTGCTGTCTGCCAAAAAGGCAGGGCACTGAGATTTGACGGGTATAGGAAGGCGCGATGGAGGCGGGGAAAGATCAAATATTGTGTGAACAAGGAAAAGCCTACTGCTCTTATGTTGCTCGCAGTTCAGGTGCCCGTCGGTGTTTCTTGGCCAAACTGGAATCGATTCAAGTTTGCCTTGCCCTACACGAAGATCACAAGACCAAACACATCGACAGTTTCATCGGCCCGCGCAGCCGATGCCTCGATATTGTTGTCACAAGCGCTGTCACGAGGAACAGAAACATGTGGTATAGCCTCTGTAAGCGGAGAGACTCTGTGCCGGATGAGCTGCAGGCTGCGAAATACCGTATGGGAAGATGGTGTTCAGTCATGGCATGGGAAGGCCTTGGGGTAGGACGTCAAAGAAGCCCCGCACTTCTCATCTTTACGCGACCATGTGATCCAGATACCGCTATTAGATTTGGCAACCATATACCCTGAACCCGCGTCGTGCCTCGACATGCCAAGCTCGAGGCCGAGAGCATTGTGAACCGTCCATGCGGCTCTGCATTTGGGTATCCATTTTGATGGGGCTTGTCGATCGCCCAGCACTCATTTCCTGGCCAACGGCCTCTTTTTGTTTGGAAAATTTGCGTGAGGACTCTGGTCACGTACCTAGGCAAGTGTTGACAACAGCATCTTCCCAACTTCATAAAGAGGAGACGCTGCCATATCGCGCATACGCGTTGCGAGGACTACCTTCAGAAGACCGGGTGGCTAGGCTTCACATATACATGTCATTGAGATGCAACGTTTCGTCCCTCCACCTACGCCTGCCTGGTGTTTCCCAGTTCACCGTGCAACAAGCAGAGTGCAAGCTAATAAAAGTTGTAGCCGAAATGGTTTGCCTCCAACCTCATCGATCGACGATCTCGGTGAAAAGGTTTGGAATATGACGGCCCCAGTGCTCCCGTTCCCCCAAGCTCAGCTTTTTACGGCGAGCGAGGCTTCCCGGGCTGGTCGTTCTTGGATCTGCCGATTGGATGATTGACATCATAAGTGATGGCTCCTTGGGGTGAAATCGAGATGCCGCAGAAATCAACTCTAACGCGCAGGCTAGAGGATCGCTGGGCACAGATCCGTGGTGAGAAGAAGGAGAGAAGAAAGGAAGCAGAAAAATTTCGAGGCTGCGATATGTACTCCCACGGCGGACCCGCAATCATTGCTGACTAACCGCCCGACTCGTCTGCCTGCCGCCTTGTCGTCCAAGGTCCTGCCTGCCATGCGCTACCTGCATCAGTACTTTTTGGCCAGCCACCTGGGTGGGCCACAGATGTGCAGAGCTAGCTCCAGCAACTCCAACTCATCCAAGATCGACCCCCATCTACCGTCTAGTCCTGCCGCGAGCCTGTCCTCTATCCATCAAATTCACACCATACCCTCTCCCGACATCGCCCAAAGGACACCTCCACTCAATCCCAAACCTCGTCCTCCCTCCCTGGGCAACCCGCCAAGATGGATGCCGCCACCATCGAGGAGACGAATCGCATGCGCGAGTCCCTGGGCCTGAAGCCTCTTCCCGTACCAGGCGCCGCACCCCCGTCGCCCAAGGAGCGCCGCGCAGGATCCGAAAGCGATGGAGAAGAAGAGGAGGAGGCCAGCACCATCGACACACGCCAGGCACAAGCCTACGACAACTACAGGCAGATCCGCGAAGCCGAGGAAGCCAAGCGCAAACGCGAGGCGCGCGTCGCCGCCGCGAAGAAGGAGCGCGACAACGCCCAGCGCCTAACTACCCTCGAAGGCAAAGGTCTTGGCGAAGAGGACGATGCCGGCGACCTCGACGCCAAGGCCTGGCTCAAGGCGCAGAAGAAGCGACAGAAGACCATTGCCAAGACGCGCAAGTTTGAGGAGGAGCAGGCCGCGGCGGAGGCGGCAGCGGCGGCAGCGCTCGAGTACACATCAAAAGACCTCGCCGGAGTCAAGGTGGCACACGAACTGGACAGCTTCCTGGACGGCGATGACCAGATCTTGACACTGAAGGATACCACTATCGACCAGAACGAAGAGGAAGGCGACGAACTCGAGAACCTCGACCTTCGGGCGCAGGAGAAACTCAAGGAGAACCTCGACCTCAAGAAGAAGAGGCCGGCGTATGATGTGCACAATTTGGATGACTCCGAGGAGCGAGGGCTGCTGTCACAATACGATGAGGAAATCTATGGCAAAAAGTCAAAAAAATTCACTCTCGACTCATCAGGTGCCATTGCTGAGCTCGCCGACATCCTCGATGGCCCCTCAAAGAAGAAGAAGGATGTACAGAACATTGATCTGGACGCCATGGAAGACGCTCCAAAATCCGACTATCTTGACATTTCAGAGATCAAGGTTCGGAAACCCAAGAAGAAGAAGTCCAAGTCGACGCGCCAGAAGCCCGTCGATGAAGACGACATCATCCCCGAAGTACCCGCGGCTGTCGAAGACGAGCAAATGGACATTGACTCGGGGGCACCAGTGCTGCCAAGGAAGCGAAAGGTTGTGGACGACTCTTTCGTGGACGATGAAGATCTCCAAGCCTCCCTCGCCATCCAGAGGAGAACGGCTCTGAAGAAAAGGAAGAGGACGCGACCCGAGGATATCGCCAGGGAACTCAAAGAGCAGACTGAGCAGCCGGAAGAGGAAGTGCAAGGAGGTGTTGTCATTGATGAAATCTCCGAGTTCGTTTCCGGCTTGAAGAAACCAGAAGAGGACGAGGACCGGAAGGCGCGCAAGTCAAAACAAGTTGCTGAGCAGTCTGTCACCGCAATGCACGACGAGTCCGACGACGATGGGGATCTTCACATGGGCGAGGCCTCACACATCGATGCCTCGGGCGCCAAGATAGAAGATCCCATCGACTACGCAGGCATCGATGAGGAGAGGACGATTGGTGCCGGCATGGGTTCTGCACTGACACTGCTGAGAGAGCGCGGCCTGGTTCAGGATGCACACGGCGCTGAGCTCAACGAGGAATTCCGTCGCAAGTCCGAATTCCTAGCCGCCAGGCGGCGGCTCGAAAGCGAGCAAGATGAGAGGACACGCGACCAGAGAGAGAAGGACCGAAAGAGCGGTCGCTGGGACCGCATGTCGATCCGCGACAGGGAAGAGTACGCGCGCCAGCAAAACACGTACCGTGACCAGCAGCAGTCGCGCACTATCGACCAGCTCTTCAAGACGCAGTACAAGCCCGACGTCAAACTCAAGTACACCGACGAGTTTGGCCGGGCGCTGGACCAGAAGGAAGCCTTCAAGCACCTCAGTCACCAGTTCCACGGCAAGGGCAGCGGCAAGGGCAAGACCGACAAGCGACTCAAGAAGATCGAGGCCGAGAAGAAGCGCGAGTCGCAGAGCATACTGGACGCCAGCGAGAACGCGACCATGAGCTCATCCAGTAGCAAACGGAAGGAGGCCGGCGTGCGTTTGCAGTGATGCAGGATGGAAACCCTCTGGCTCATACAAAGGTGCAACACCCTCTTGATAATTAGTGGCCCCAATGACAATAATTCCCTGCTGACACCCCGGCGCAAATAGACGTGGTGAGTGATATTGCGGCCGCGCGCTTGCGCGGCCCCTCGTCACCATTACTACGGGAAGTGCTCTCACAGTTGCTCGTGCGGTGCTGTTACTAATACGTGTACTGACCCGCTTTGATATGTTCTCTTGTCTGAAGCATCAAACTGTGTACTGATTACTACCGGAATCATGAAGCTGGCTACGGGGGAGGGCCAGTGTCCCCCATCCTTGTGACTTGCCCAGTGGCTCATTTCTCAGCATCAGACTCTACGCCTCAGCCACTGCCTATCTACTTGCGTCGGCATTTACCAGACTCACCTTCCCCCTCCTGCCCGGCACGGTTAGTTTTGCGAATCGGTATAGAGGCGTTGTGGTCATCGTACCGCGCCGAGGCGAAGCCCATCCAACCAGCCAGCGCTTCGTCCACCTGCACGATCAACTGATCCACCAAGGTCGGCGACTCGGGTATCAGTTTCTGCCTGGACGTGTCTATGAGCTTCACTCTTGCGGCCTCGAAAGCCTGAACCCTGAGGTTGACGTACCCTGCCTGCTCCTGCAGCGCCGCGGCGCCTGCGCTCAGCGTGCGGTGCATGCGTGAAGTTTCGTGCTGCGGACGAGACTCTGTCTTTCGCGCCATTTCCATGGTGGTCTTGCTGTAGTGCTTTGTTGTGAACTGAATTATGATATATTTTTTTTGGATGATAGGGTCTTTAGGGTTTTGCGAAGAATATCGAACCTCTCCAAAACGGCCATCAGTGCGGTGCATCGGTTTTTGTAATCTGCACGAGCGTAGTAAAGTGTGAGGTTACAATCGTTCTGTTCACTACAGTTGAAGACGTATAAGAACATATTTCTTGTGTTGCGTCGGCTTTGTTTTGTCATTTTTGCTCGTTCAAGGGCCTGACATACATCAAAGCTATTGTTCCATGTCTGTCTCGCAGATCCCAACCAGGTTCCGTACATCGAGTGATGCCACTCAGTCCCTCGCTAGCAACGCATCATTCTCGAGCTGGTAAAGATAGCATCAATCAAAAGACCAAATGTCCGCTTTCAATTCTATTCAGCTAGAAGAATGACAAGAACGCCGCGCCGAGTAAATCCCAAAACTCCAGTTCCGGTCCCATGCCTCTCAAAGGCTGATATGTGCGCCAATGCCTTTCCCAGTATACCAAACCGTCTCCCGCCAGTTGCCTATCCTCACCGTTACGTTCGCCTTGGCATCCAGCTTCAGCACGCCCCCCAGTGCCTTCTTGACGGCGTCGTAGCCGATAGAGCCGACAGACCACTGTACTGGCAGCTTTGGCGTTTTGGTCGCCCCCGGCGTGACGGCGAAGGGCAAGTCGTAGTCGATGCGGCCCACAGGCGCTGTGTGGTTGTAGTAGGCCGTCGCGTTGACCGCGTCTATATAGAGCGTGTTGTAATGTAGTGGGGAGACGAGCGTGAAAGTGGCCGTGGAG